TTGTAGGTGGTGCTACATTTTCCACCTCCCATTTTATCTTCGTTTCACTGCGTATCGGATTGTTGCCATCACTGTTCTGAAACAATTCTTCCCAAGATCACCTGTGATCTCCATGTTGCTGATTCCAACAGCCAATTCTTTATCCTCATTCTGCTTTCCCTCCCAGCAGAATTTGACACAGTTAACCACTTTATTTCTCCTCAAAACACTTTATTCTCTTGGGTTCTTGACACCACCTTCAGTTACATTTATCTTACCTCATTGATCACTCCTTAGTTTTCTAAGCCTGCTCTTTTGTTGTGACCTCTGAAGTGTCGATGAAATGGGGCTTTGTCCTCGACTCTCCTTCCTTATGTAACCAGATTCTCTCTGGGAAACTTAATCCAGTCCTCTGGTAATAATGCCACCTTCAGGCTAATGATCCCTGAATTTGTATTTCTGGTGCTGACCACTTCCTTGAAGCTAAATTTCTATATTCAGTTGTCTGTTTTACAATTCCCCTTGATGCCTCTCAGCTATAACAAGTCCAAGCCAGAACTCTTGATTCATCTCCCTCTAAAATCTGTTCTCCTCCAGTATTCTTCATCCCAATTCATATCCAATTACTCAAAAATAAAATCTAGCGTACACTCTTGACTGTTCTTACTCTGATGGCATTCCAGGACGATGCCACATCCAGTGTCTATCCTCAGTGTGACCACTTCTCTCCTCTGCTAAAATCTTTGTCAAGTCAGCACTGGTTTTCCACGAGACTAATTCACAGCCTCTTAAGTGGTCTCCCTGTTTCTAAACCCGGTACAACTCACCCTCCATACAGCCACCACAGTGATCTCAAGTGTAAAACAAATCGCATCATTTTCCTGCTTCAGACATTCCAGTGGCTTCCCTTTGCCCGTTAGAATAAAATCCAAAATCTTTGCAAAATCTGCATCAGCTTCTGTAACCCTGGGATGCAATTGTGGCCAGTGTGTCATAGAGAGTGGCCTATAACTTAATTTCAGGCTAAAATATCAACCAGAATAAAGCATTTATTTTACTGCTTACTGCTCCATTAAATATTTCTAGACTCTGCAGGAATCCGGTCATGTGATATGCTGGATACCTATAATCATCCCCACTTAGAATATAGTGTAGTGTTATCTGCAGAACTAGATTTCATGCTTAGAAAGGCACAAGCTTGTCTTTAGCTTTCCTCTTTCTGGAAAAAGTGGATGATGATAACATTTCCTTCTACATCTTTCCCTACACAGAAAAGAGCTGGGAGTTAAAACACACACTTCACAATACGATTGATCCTACATTCATCTTTTGGAAACAAAGCATGTGCATTGGATTATCAACTCTCTTCAGGCTCCCTCTACCCTCCACCACCCCCACAGTTATGCCTGTTGACTAGACTTCAGATTAATGTTCTGCATTTAAAACACAAAAGACTCGGAACTTCCCTGGCGGTCCAGTGGCTAAGACTCCGCGCTTCTACTGTAGGGAACGTGGGTTCGATCCCTGGTGGGGGAACTAAGATTCCGTGTGCTGTGTGGGTGGCAGAGCCAAATAAATAAATAAATAAAACCAAAGAACAAATATTAAAAAAAAAAAACTAGGTAAGCATTTAAAAAGTAAATAAAACACAAAAGACTCTAAGCATTCCTAGCTATGGCCAAGGAAAGGTGAGACCAAGGAGCAAAGCGCTTTCACTATTTCCAACATGCTCAGCCTCCTTTTAATAAGTTCTCATAAGTTTTAATAGGTTTAGTATTCTCATATTAACAGGTTTTTTTTCTATTTTTAAAATCACAAATATTAAAGTAAATCACTTTATAAGTAAATCAAACATAGTTTCTTCCCTCTTGGGGTTCACATTTTAATTTTCTTCTTTGGAGTTTTTGTACTGTTGACTATAATTATATTCTTGAAATAGGAACATATTTTTGCTTAGAAGGATATTCTCAGGGAGGAAAAGCTCTTCCTGTACCCTCTTAGGTTATGATTGGGGGCCTACCAATTAACCAAGACATTAGCAGGAGAAAAGACATGCAATTTTTATTAATATTTATATTCACAAGAGTTCACAGAAAAGAAATTCAAAGAAGTGGTTAAACTTGGGGACTTATGTACCATCTTAACAAAGGAAAGGGGTCTAGGCCTCAAGGGACAAGAAACTGTGGAGAAGTGACAAGGAAATATGTGGGTGGACTAATGGGAGATAAGAGTTATTTTAGTAAAGTCTGTTTATGCAAACTCATCTTGGTGTCAACTCCCTGTCTCTGGTGATAAGATTGCTCTCTCTTCTCTTCCTGATACAGAGTGAGGTGGTTAGAAAATGCCCTGCTTTTAGGCAGGCAAGGGGAGGCACAGAACTCTTCCTGCATCAGTTGATTCTCAGTTGCCTCCAGCTCAAAATAATCCTTCTGCCAAAGTGCCATATTCTGAGGGTGGCATATTCTGATCCCCTTCAATACAAAACAAAATCCTTAATAATTAGATGGTTGGCTAAACTCCTGTGGTGTAACCCAAGTTACTTTATCTTCCAGTGCTGGGGGACGTGAGATTCAAACTGAAGGAGGGGAGTTGAGGCAGGGGTGGAGAGTGAGCTGGAAGGTGGGGCAGATGCAGGCGCTGCCCACTAAAGACCTAGCACCTTAGGAGTTGGTTATTCACTTTGCAAAGTTGTGTTGCCTTAATTTCCCTTTTCTCTCATGGTAGGTGTTTACATAGGCCTCAGCTTTTCTGGATTTTGGAATTATGATGATACCACATGGTATAACCTGACAGACATGGTCTCTTCCCAAGTTGGAGAAGGTAATTCCTCTAACAGTGCCTTCATCGTCAGCATTTCCTTTACATCAACACTTGATGGATATTTATGAAATGTCTTTGCTTTGCTGATGACGTCACTTTTTCCTTACTTTTTAACCCATGGTATGATTTCTTCCTTTAGAACGCACAGAGCTTTCCATGGTGGATATGGTTTTAACAAATCATTTTTTAGTTATCCTCACCTCTTTGGGTCTTTTTATAAGTGGAGATCTTCGCTATCCATCCTCCTCTGTCTTAATGGTAGGTGAATTGCTCTGTAACTAATAACCTTAAATATCTTCTGTGACATAAAGTAGAAATAGTGGATACTTGAGTTATGTGTGGTGTATCTTAGAACTAAAATGCTTCTTCCTTTTAAAAAACGTAAGAGCGTAATATAGTGACATTTTCCTTTGCCTTATAGTGTTGAATACATCATTTGGAAATGGTGCTAGCTTTATTGCTATACAAATTTATGAGGCGTTTCAAATAATTCATATAGAAAATACCCTATATACTTATAAATAGTCATATATGTTCCCAAAATGCTTTAAGGTACATAAAGCCAGATATAATATTACAAAATAACATAAATTAAAATTATGTCCTTCTGATGAGTTTTCTCTTTTTATTCTTAACTGGCTGTATCAAAGCTTCGATACCATGTTTTTTGTTTTAAAGCACTTCCTCAGCTTCTGCTTTGTCATTCCCATCTGCTCCAAAATAAGGCATTGAAAAGAGACATTAATTAATAAATAAATAAAGTAATTAAAAGTAAGTTTTGGGATTGAGAGAAGGAAAATCAATTCTTAAATATGTTAATAAATAGCTCTCAAAATTACCTCAACAGAAATAAGAACAGTAATAAAGACTTAGGAACAGTAGGAGAAAAGATTGGGGAAGTGTAGAAGGGATGATTGTATTGGTTAAGAAGTAGTTATTTCTTATACATGGTAATTATTACCTTTTTTCAGGTTTACAAATATTCACAACCTTCCTTCTTCCTCATTATCTCTAAGAAAGTATCATTTGTTGCTCAGACAACTAATAGATCTGGCCTTTTATGTGCTTATCATGTGGTTGCTAAAGAAGAGAGTTGAAACAGCCAGGAGCAGTGACCTGAGGTCAAAGCACAGAGAGTTAGGTGTGGGCTGTACATCCTGAGGGCCTGGTCGAGGAGCTGCACTGGGCTGGGCAGAAGACAGAGTGGCCATGGAGAAAATAGTGGGATAAGGATGTGCCTTCCTAAACCCCAGTCGGTGGCCGACCTAGTTTCTTCCTATACACTTCTTAACTCCTCCATTTAAATCATTAAAAGGTGGGGTTTTGAACTCAAATCCTTTCTGGAATTAAGTTAAAGTATAAATAAATTAATCAAATGGTGGAACAAGGCAAAGACTGAGGGGGAAATCTCCAAGATACCCTGCAAACTACTTAAGAAGCTGGTTTTAGTGTTTGATACTCCTAACTGCTGGGATGTAAAAAACGTCATCTCCTTTAGTATAATTTAAATTGCTGTTTTGTTATGCCTTCCGATTTACAAGCAAAGATTAAAATTCCTTTTTTTCTTTCTTCTAGTTTTCAAGGGCAGACTTTTGTGGTTTCGAAAGGGTAAGAAGCTTTCAATTTCCAAGGGTTGGTTAAAAGATATGTTTCCTTGGTGACCTAAGAGATGAGGTACAAGACAAGAATTCATAATATAGATTATTATTGCTGATACTATAATATTATTTACAGTTTGAACTAAAAAGATGTATTTCCAGTAACCATTAAGCAATGATACCCCCTTCTGTTTCAAAGGAGGAAATGCCCCCTCTTTGTCTCTGAGGTGGTCCCCATCCCATCTTTATATGTTCTGTCCAGGATTGCTGTGGTTGTTCAGTGCGTTCTGCACAAGGACACCCAGCTGAAAAGATAGTGAGAGCAGAAATATGGCTAACACTTGACTCCCCAATCCGCTTACCCCCCACCCCCGTGTGGGTCTGTGCCTACCTTATCTTTCTTTTTTTTTTTTTATAAATTTATTTATTTTATTTATTTATCTTTGGCTGCACTGAGTCTTTGTTGCTGCGCGCGGGCTTCTCATGCGGTGGCTTCTCTTGTTGCGGAGCACAGGCTCCAGGCACGCGGGCTTCAGTAGTTGTGGCGCACGGGCTTTAGTTGCTCCGCAGCAGCATGTGGGATCTTCCTGCATCAGGGCTCAGAACCCGTGTCCCCTGCCTTGGCAGGCAGTTTCTTAACCACTGCACCACCAGGGAAGTCCCGGGGCACTCTTTCTAATTTGATACAAGTACCATGTAAACTCTGATTCTACAGCTCTGATTCTGGATTTTGTTCCATCAGTTATCTCCCCTCTCTGTTATGAGGTCAAGTTCTGAGATTCAACTAAGTCATTCCCATCAACATATAAGCATGCTTTAGTTTGGAAAGCACAACAAAATTATGAGCATTTCTAGCCTTTTGCCATGTCTCCTCCCCATCCTGTCCTCATACAGGCCTGTGGACACACACCCACCTGTGCATACACACGCACACTCACTCACACTGTCTAAAGCAAAGGGGCACTTATTTCTCAGGAAACAAAAGGAACTGACTTCTTGCTGTATTGATTGGAAGAAACGTGAAGCTGAGAACTGGGAAGGTCAGGTAGGCAAAAGTGATTTACATCAGAAAGAGCAAAGGGGAAAACTGTCAAGAGAGAATTCCAAACCTAGCTAAACTATAACATTCAAGAATGAGGGTGAAGAAAAGAAATTGTCACAGATAAGGCATCAGGAGAGCTTACTATCCAGAGACTCCCGTGAAGGAGTGGGATGCCAGAAATAAAGACAGACCTAGAAATGTAAGCTGTAAGTGAGACAGGAACCTTGTTTGTGCTTTTTACGAGACCTAAGCCTGCCCTTCTTTTTTTTATAGCTGCAAATATTCCGTTGTGTGAACTTAACCAGAGTTTACTTAGCCTGTCTCCTATTGATGGATACTTGGGTAGTTTTCTAATCTTTTGCTTTTGTATTACAAACAATGCTGCCATTAATAATTTATACCGAACAAGTTTGTACATGTCTGGGTATATCAGTACAATACATTCCTGGAACTTGGATTCACACATCAAGGAGTAAATGCTTGTGCAATATTAAAAGACAATCACAAATTGCCCTTCATAGAGGTTTTTACCGTTCACAAGGATATTAAAATAAATCCTCGTGAGCTAAAATGTTTCAGCAAAACACAGGGGTTTCTGGTAGTGATGAGGGAGAGGGGAACTACAAGTGTCCCAAAGATAGTGAGGTCGTGTGGCAGGGGAAAGAAAGGGGGAAGTGAACTTATTCTTAAAAGTATAGGGATTTACCTTTGGGAAAGACATCTTCTAAAATGATTGAAGGAAGGATAGTAAGAATGGGGTGTATGTGGCTGTCCAGCCAGGAATTTGAAGGAGTTAATACTTGGTGATTTATTCATTCACTTATTCATCTATTCAACAGATGTTTGTTGAGCCAGACTTATTTAGACAAAGAAGATTCCATAGTGAGCAAGACAGATAAAGTCCTGACTCTCCTGTAGCTTCCCATTCTCCTGAGGGAGCTAGACCATGAACAAGTACACAAATATATGCAGAATATGATTGTAGAGAGTAACAAGGGTTTATTGAAATTAAAGCAGGAAGAGAAGTAGAAAGTGAAGGGAAGATAATATTGTATTTAAGCATGGTGATTATAGCAGGCCTCTCCAAGGAGGTGAAATTTAAGCAGAAACTCAAATGATTTGAAGAAATGATTTCGACAAAATATGTCCAGACAGAGGTGCAAAGGCCCTAAATTGGGAACTTGGCGTGAGGCAAAATCTGTGATACATCTATACTCAATGTATATTGAGTGCAGTATGCAGTCTCAAACCTCTCAATACCAATTGCTGTCATTTGTCACCCTATTTTATCCGTTGAGCCCTCTGACTAACCTCACCAGACTTTAGGTTTCGTGTCAAGAACTATCCTATTTACTATTGTATGCTATTATTAGACTGCCTTGTAGATAGGCTGTCTCAATAAATATTTGCAGAATCCATGAGTGAATAAATGAAGATGGACAGGAGTCCAATCTTGGATGAGCTTAGTAGCCATGCAGCATGGAACTTTGAGCAGTCATATACCTCTCTGGGCCTCAATTTCTTCATTTTAAAATGGGCATGACAATATCTACCTCTTAGAGGTGAAGTGATTAAATAACATTACATAAGAAAAACCTCAGCCCGGTTCACGAATCAAAGTAGCAACTTTAAAAAAAAAAAAAAAAAAAGCTGGGTTTTCTCCCCAGACAGATAGTCAGAAACTTCTGAAGGCAAATGACAGAAACCAAACTAAAACTGATTTTAGCAAAGGAGAGGAAGTTGTTGGCTCATGTGAACAGGGAATTCAAGGAGTGAATGAATCCAGCTTCCAGACATGACTGGATTTAGTGCCTAACAGATGTCCGTCCAACCCTGTCTTCTCAGCATTTGAGTCTGTTTTCCTCTACATTAGCTTCATTCTCAGTGGGTTTTCTCCAATTGTCAGTAAGAATAGCCACCAGGTTTATGTGCCATCAGTTTAGCACTCCCCACAGGAATAAAGTATCTCTTCCCCGGTGGTTCCAGCAAGCCTCAGCGCCGACTCATTAACCTGACTTGGATATGTGTTCATTCCTGACCCACCTTTGTGACTCTAAATCAGGCCTGGGGCATGAGCTCATCCTTGGAATAAAGTTAGCCTGATCAGATTAAATTATCCCCAAGGATATTCACTGGACTATTACGAGTTTTATTCCAGGTAGGAAAAAACAAAAAAAAGAAGGGATCTAAAGAGTAAAAAAGGAATCAGGGCCCGATAAAGATTCTATACTAATTGCCCAGCTATAATCATGATAGTTATGGCATCCTGAAAAACTGCAGATTAACATGAGAACTCAAAAGCTCATTGATATAAAACCATAGGTTGAAATTCAAATAAATTATTGTCCACTCCATTTTAAAAGGCTTTTTTGTTTGTTCAGTGGTTTTATCAATATATAATTCATATAGCATAAAATTCACCCACTTAAAGTGTACAATTCAATGGCCTTTAGTATATTCACAGAGTTGTGCAAGCATCACCACAATCTATTCTAGAACATTTTAAAGGCTTTTAATGCACAGATTATGCAGATTTTATTACTGGTCTTTAAATATGTAAGAAGGTCTTCCTTTTGTCTCAACAATAATATGAGAGTCAGAATCTTCCTATGTTGACCAAAAAAATACACAGGGCTTCCCTGGTGGCGCAGTGGTTGAGAGTCCGCCTGCCGATGCAGGGGACACGGGTTCATGCCCCGGTCCAGGAAGATCCCACACGCCGCGGAGCGGCTGGGCCCGTGAGCCATGGCCGCTGAGCCTGCGCGTCCGGAGCCTGTGCTCCGCGATGGGAGAGGCCACAACGGTGAGAGGCCCGCGTACCGAAAAAAAAAAACAAAACACACACACACAACCTAGAAGTTGAGTTGTTTTATTCAGTGGACAAAACTGAGGACATAAGCCTGGGACACAGACTCTCAGATAGCTCTGAGAGACTACTCCTAAGAGGTAAGGGAGGAGGAGGATATTTAGGAGTTTTTGCAACAAAGACCAGGTAGTCAGAACATCAAAAGATTACTGTTAATTAAAGAAAACCAGATATCTCAAGTTAAGGAATTTAGTCCTTTTTCTATGTACGGAAAGATGCAAGAGTCTGGGCTCCCTGAAATCATTCCTTTGATGTGCACCTCAGCTATCTGGGGCCAGTATCCTGTGCTTTGTCATCCTGAGTCTCCTCAGGGTGCATCCTTGGGAGGTGGCTGCAGTGACTGAGGGCTTGGCAGTGGGCAGCTCATTTGTCTCCGTCCTGAGTTCCCTCAGGGCTCACCATCGGAGTGGCTGTACTGGCTTGATGGCTGCAACATCCTTTGTTTACTGATATGGCAGGCAACATTTTTTCAATGACACCTATAACAAAACCATCTCAAATTCTTGCATATAATTCATATCCAACATCTATAATCTTGCCTTCTTGGAAGCTTCTCCTGTATGACCAATTTTCCAAAACCTGTATTTTGTGGCTTTTTTTCTTATTGCTTCTTGCTGCTGTCAGGCCTCTGGGAAGTCTCCTTAAACCTAGCTCAGCTGAAGGAGAATAAAAGATAAGCATGTGGCCCATTTTAACTGTAATGAAAGATCAACAGCTCCTGAGAGCCTCGGAAAGACAGCTCATGGATAGTAGCATCTTCCACTAACATATGTCAATCATGCGAAATTTCTTTTTATTCCTTTTTTGTGTGTTGTTCAAAAAGCATATTCTTGTTTCTTGTCCTCATTCTACGAACTTTTATTTTGCTGGCATACAGCTTTCCTTTTTTTATTTGCCTCACATCCCTGAACTATTGAACTTTTAAAATTTCTTATAAGTTTTTCTATTTTTACATCTTAAGGCTACATATTGCCTAAATGACATTTTTGTTTATTTATGTAGGTTGACTACATCAAAGGAAAACTGTGGTATAATGAAAGATGTTTTGCTAACAGAGAACATTTTGAAGGTAAATTTTAGTTAAAGAACTATTAATAAGCTTTTTTCAACATAGCTAGCATATATAGATTAGATAAAATGAAATAAAATAAAAATAGAATTAAATATAAAGATAGGTTTGTTTTGTATAAGTTAATGGCCTAAAACTGGGGGAAAAATTAGTTTAAATCTGACACAATAGGCATGCCCTGTTGTAAGTGCAAGAAAATTGTATTGTAAATGATACAATTTAATTGTATCATTTAATTAGTGATACGTTTAAAAATATAGATCCTACTTATAATTTCTGTACCTTTATATTTTATAGTTGATTATGTTACTATCACCTTTGAGAGAAACAGGACCCTAAGTGAGGTATGGTATTAAATATTTCAAAAAGTAAGAAATTTTATGGTGCATGATTTCATAGGTTGTTATTAACCTAAAAAATGGCAATTTTTAGACTCAAAAGCTTAACAATCACTCTTTGCTCCCAGTGGTGCCTGTACTTAGATTTAATGGTAATTAGCTAATTATGTTAAATCTAGACCCACACAGTGGTTCTAGAAAAACAATCCATGCCAGAAAGGGATGCTTTACAGTGTTTTCTAGACTCATATCCCCCAGAAGAGAAACACAGGTATTAAAGATATATCACTATTATTTGTGGCCAGTCATGACAACACAATTAGTGTAGTTCATTAGTTTATTTGCCTGCAAGAACTAATTAGGACTTCTTTAGTTCAAGAATGGCATTAACTTTTCCTTTGTCTTTTTGTAGGCAAGCTCTTGTTTTTATAGTAAAGAACCATTTCTTGAATGGTTACCTTGCTTACCCCCCATTTCAAAAGGAATGAAAACTATTCTTTCAACTGTGGTAACATTTCTTGTTGACCAAGAGCAAAGTTCTGGAGTCTACCTCTTCCATAACCAGGTAGGCCTTATAGCCCAGAGGTGATTGCTGTTGACACCACAATAGTGAAAACTTACCTTTGCAAAACTTATTTCCAAGTTCTTTTTATCTTTGACAATAGAAGGTGATAAAATTGGCTACAGTGAAATTATTTATGGTTAACAATATAGTTTGATACTTCATAGATGTCTTGCCTCTTATTGTCATTCAGTTTGATGAAAATGGAAAATACAGAGCCGTTTGTGTAGTAATGCTTCTTTGCTTATTCTTCAGGAGAATGTAAGCTGAGTTTGGTCTATATAAATTTAAGTGTCTGTAGAATGGTTAGTTTAAATGAACAAAAAGTGGAACTAGCCCTACCCTCATGATTTTAGGGGAGAAAGAAAATAATTTTCCTCTGCCCTCTTATGTTCAGTTTTAGGGGCCCTGCAAATTAAACTGACAAAAGACAGATTAACAGGAGAAAAGAAAACAATTTCTTTATGCATGCAGGGCCCATACATGCGAGTGAAAGTCAGTGATGAGTAATTCAAAAGGTAGTTAAAATTTGGAGGTTATATGCCATCTTAATAGTTTAAGGGGTTGAGTGAGAAAGGTACTTAAGGGAAAACAAATGAAAAGATAATGGTTTACAGGAGAACAAACAGGAGGTAAGGAAGTTTGTGATGTTTGTTTGTACAGGTATGCGTGGTCTTTCCGTCTCCTTCAGGGCCATGAAACTCCCCTGGAGAAGGGATTTGGGGTAGGTTTTGTTCACATTCTGCCTTCTGGGAGTAGATCTGCTCTGAAGAGGAATTAATGGCAGCCTTTTATCCCAGAAGTTGCTGCTTTTCGTCAGATAAGGGAAGGATTTTGTCTGCATCTCTTGAATCTCAAATATCTTCAGCTTAAAATAATCTTTATACCAAAGTGGCATGCCTTGGGGGTGCATATGCTGATCCCCTTCAAAATCATGATCTGACAGAATTGGAGTGGAGTGTGGCCTAGGCATCCACACTTTTAAAAAGTAGTTTGACATTATAGTTATGAGCATGGGCCTTGGAGTCTGTTGAGTTCAGTAATGATTCTACAATAAATCCCCCCATGACATTTATTATTTAATAATAATAATTAAATTATTATTAATTAAATTATTATTATTAAATAATAAATGGGAAAATTATTTAATCTCCTTTACTTCATGTTCAACATCTATAAAGTGGACATGTATGGTGGGGGGAGGCAGAGTAAAGAGATACCAATAGTTGCTAATCCTTCCAGTTCTATGCTGTGTTAAGTGTTTTGTTGCTATCTTAATCCAAATCCAAGTAACAGGAAACTCTAAAAATTGTAACATAGACTAGTACTATTGGTGGAAAAATTCTTATGATTTGCTCCTGCTTTGTTTATCTATTTCTAGAAAAATACCACTGTCTCTGTGAGGATCCTAAAAAACAACAAACCAAGATTAATACAAAAATTTCCAATTTTCTTTTTTCCTTCATCATTCTCTTCTCCTGTTGGAATGACATTCCACCCACGAAGCCATTTTCTGTATGCTTATGGTAATCAGGTGTGTATGAAACTTCACACTCTAGTATAGATGTAAATCATTCACTTGCTCTATGCTGAGTGGTTATACATCAAGTAAAGAACAGGGTTGCTCTGATGGTCAGGGAGGTGGAAAGCCTGATGAAGAGAGAATGAGAAGAGAGGAATTAGTGACAGTGAATACAAACAAATATTTTGCAAAGTTTTGCTGAAAAGTGGAGCAGGGAATTGTGGCAGTGTTTGAAGAAAGAAAGGTCAAAAGAAGAGTTTTTTTAAAGATAGGAGGAATTACGTTGTGTGCTTATGGGACTTATTTGGTAGAGAGGAAAAGCTGACGATGCAGGAAAGAGAGGAAAGAAATTTCTGGAGTGACATTTCTAAAGAGGTGAGAGGAGATGAGGTCTATGAACTAGTGGAGAGATTGGCCTTAGGAGCACAGACAGTTGTTCTATAGTAACGGGAGGAAGGAAGGGTTTTCGGGTTCAGAAGCTGGTAGGTAGGTTGGTAGCTATGGTAATGGAAGTTGTGGGAATTTATCTTCTATTTTCTCAACAAAAATCAAAGTTATTGTTTACTAGTGAGGATGGAGGAGGAATGTTGAGGGGTTGAGGAAAGAGAGAACAGAGTAAAATAGTTGCCTAGGAAGATGGGAGAATGAACTGAG